TTAAAATGGCCTCATTAAAGATAAATGCCCTTAAGCCTATTAAGGATGTGCAGCCGCACTCTTGAAAACGGGAGCGTAGTTAGGATGTCAGGGCTTGGGAATATATGGTCTTCAGAGAAGCCATGGAGAAACCTCGTATGTTGATGGTGAAAGCGGGACAGTATAGCGCTCCGGAAAGCGAATTAAAGTTTGAAATCGGTGTTCTAGGGCACCGTCAGTGCCAGAGACCTGCACTTGCGCCGCCTTCTCCCGGCCCTAGAAGGTGTCAGATAACTTAAATATTTGACATTCTGATGGGAATGGGACAGATCTGTTTCTAGCTATTATTTTATTGATATTTTTATGGGGGGAGGTAGTTAGGTTTACTTATTTAATTATATATTTGGTTTTTCAATGCAGGTACTGGGGAATGAGCCCAGGACCTCATACATGCTAAGCATGCGCTCTACCACTCGAGCTATACCTTCCCCACTCTGTTACTTTAAATGGGTTCATCCTGTTGCACCAAATTAATGTACAACTGTGTAAATTTCAGAAATTGACGTTTTGAGTTAGCTTCAGGTTTTTACTACTACTAAGAATGACACTAAACTGCTCCTTGCAGTGTGGTATGTGGTTAAACCCAGGGTCTTTGAGGCTGGGCAGATTTAGACTAGCATAGGAGCTGTGTTCATTTGTCCCTAGATACAGTTGTCAGAGGAAATACAGGATGGCCTAAAATTTGAATTTCAGGTAAAAAAAAATTCCCATGAGATATGTGGAAATTACTTACACTAAAATTCAAATTTACCAGGGCATCTTGTGCTTTTATTGGCCAGATCTGGCAACCCCAGCCCTGGATGAGTCCTCACCTTACTTCTCTCTGCTATGAAATGGCAATAACAGTAGGAACTGTCTTGTAGTTGTGTGGATGAAATGAGATAATCTACGCAGAGTACTTACCAGGGGATATGAAACATGAAGAGAGCTTAGTGTTAGGTCTTATTTCATATCAGTGTGTTTTAGGACAAATTCTTCGAAGTCTGCTTTCTTTACAGAATTCCCAGGCTAATTTAAGGCTTGTTTGAGCTTTTGGTCATAACAAAAACTGTGTTTTGTGAAAAGCCTTGAGCAGGTGAGCAGATACTTTTCAACTAGCTTGAGAATATAAGTCAGATTTTAAAATTTCTGTACAAAAACAAAAAATTGCCATCTACAGCAAGTGTGGACTTCTTTTCTATCACACCAAATACTTGGATGTTGATTCTGATTTGTTTTCTATTTGAGTCAACTGAAACAATATTCAAGAGGAGATTGTTTAAGCAACGTTCTACATCATTTCTAAGACTTATTCATGTTATCTCATGCCTGAGCTAAATTACATTTAAAAAAAAAGGAAACCTAAGACTTAATATTAGACCCATGGCTCCAAGGAAAAGAACACTTCTTTTTCCTTTGGCAGAGCTCATATTTACAACATCTTTCTTTATGCTTACCAAAAAATATGTATATATAGCCTCAGATTTGAAAACCAGGAAAAAGTTAACTTCAAGAAGATTCTCTATATTTATACTACAATTCTTTTTCCCTTGGCTACAGAATTTTCTATTTTCTATTTTACTCTAATTTTAATAGGTTCATGGGTTTATTACAATCAGTTTCTTATTACTTTCTAGAAGAAGCAGGTAAGGTATAAATATGGGCCAAGAATATAATCATAATGTGGCAATTATTTTGTGTTGCCAGATTGGCTTTCAAAGGCCCATTCAAGTTACCCTGGCCATCTGTAATATGAGCACATTTTTTCCCATGTCTTTCTAAGAATAGGTTTTATAGAGTATTTTGCCCAATACATGGGTATAAAGAAATGATAAACGGGTTCTTTTTTTCTTTACGTGGTATATATTAGCTCAAGAACACAAGTTCCATGAAAGGAGAGATTTTGCCTGTTCCATTGTCTGCTGCATCCCAGCACCCAGAAAGACACCTGGCCTGAGGTGACCATTCAGTTGTTGATTGAATGAGCATAATAGACAGTCAAATTGTTTCCTGTTGTCACAAGTGAGCTGGTATTTTCTCCAGCAGAGGCTATGTTTAGTGATCCTACCTAAAGTACCCTCCTTTTTACTCCTTGCAGTGTGTTCCTTCCCTCATTTTCTCATTCTCTTTGGTAAATTAGTTCTATTTCATCTTTCCAGCCACCTTCACCAGGATGAACCAAGAGCCACCCCTCTAACCTGAAAGGAGTATGTTAGACATCTGGGAGTGTGTCCACACAGGAAACGGGTCCCCACATAGATGCTGATGGTACAGATACAAGGCACGCAATCCACAAAGTGTCAGGAGAGCTGCAGGCCAGAGCCACGGGAGGGAGCAGACGTGAGAAAGACACAAATCAGAAGCAGGGAAGAGGGGAATGTCTCCGGTTAACTGAAGGGCCGACAAGAACAAACACGGAGACCTGGACGGGGACACCCAGGCAAGTGACTGGACATCAGGAACCAGGAACCCAACCAAGCAGTGTGTCAGGGCCAGAATCTACCCTGGCGGCAAGAAAGGAGCTCAGTACAGCTGAGCCAAAGTTGGTATGGACCAACCAAGGCTCTCTGAGAACGTCTTTCTGGGGAGGTCACCAGCCCGGGTCACCTCACCGGCCCAGGTCACCTATCTGGCATAGGAACTGAGTCGGCAAAGAGAGGAGCAGCCCTTACGTTACTGAACAAAAGTTCACATGCCCAACGCGCAGTGAGGCCAAACAAACCAAAACGTCAGCGGGCAAGGCTTATTGCAGGGCCAAGCAAGGAGAACTGGCGGCTCATGCTTGAACCCGAACTCCCCAATGGTTTCGGGGGTTTTTATAGGCAAAATTTGGGGTGGACTGGGGGTCTGCAGGGTGTGTGTTTCTCTTCTAATTGGTTGGTAACAAGGCAGCATTCCAGAAACCTTGTGCTCAGCCTGAAGTTAGCACCCGCCACCTGGGTGGGGGTCCTAGTCCTTGCAGGAGAACCCAAAGATATTATTATGTCTATTCCTTGAGGAGGAACCAGGACCCTGCCCCAAGGCTGCAGTAGGTTTTCCTGACTGTTCCTCCCTGTCTCTGCATTCCCTCCCTTCTCTGATTAGCAAGTCTTTGAATCTGCCCTTTGGAACTCAGGGGAGGTCACAGAGGTTGAATGAAGTCTATTTCTTATAAACAAGAAACAGGGGACACAGAAAGGATTTGCACCAGGGAGGACCCCACAGGGTCCTGCTGTGTTAGTAGGACCAAGCGAGTTTGGCAAATAATTGGAGATAACACACTTTATCTCAATCAACTGCATGATAATCTTAACTGTGTGACAGCATTAATGTCAAGGTCTTGCCACCCTAGAAATTTAGTGGCAGATGAATAACAGAGTCCTCATTAAAGGAGGAAAGAAAAGGCAGGCGCTTGTGTTGTAGACCCGTTCTGGTTGTATTTTTTACTGTATTTCACGATGTTCCAAACTTGTCCTCTTCTCTATATTGAAGGACTAGGGGACTTTTTAACCCTTTATTAATGACGATTGGTTTTCCTTTAGTCAGTTTTACTCAGCTGTCTCCAACTCTGGGAAGACAGTATCCAAATACCACTGAAATGACTTGCAACCCAATCGTTTCCTTAATTCAACACGCTCACTAATGTTTCCATAGTCAAGAGATTTTAGATCAGGTCTTCGTAAAAAAAACTGCTCCTAAATGGAAATAAAGAGTCATTTCATTAAACCAAGCAAATATTTGGAGATCAAATCATGACATCTAACGTAGCAGTATATACTTTCATCATCTGATCCACAACAAAACAACAACAACAGCAAAAAAACCTTTCCTTTGTTCAGGGAGGGCAGACACGTAGGACCTGGGACTCACTCCCCCACACATATTCACAGTATGTGCTGTGACAGACATGATGAAAGTACTGCGGAGGTGAAGCTGGAAGGAAGGGGGCAGGACACTGCCGTGAAAGGAATGACACAGCATTTAGCACCAAGATGGCAGAAGAGTCAACTCCCAGTAGGCCCAAGATGGTGGGAGATTCGACCTCCAGTGGACCTTGAATTTCATTACACACATTGTAATGTATTAGCATGGCAAATGACGCAGAGCTAACCATGAGAGATCAAAGAGAGGGCAGTGGCCCAACTCCTAGGAATCCCAGCCCCTTCCCCAAAGTAGTTGGAATAATCCTCTCACTTGTTAGCATGTAAAAACTAGCAACACCGAGTCA